GGGTTCCCAAACTTATTTTGTCTACTGCCCACTTTGAGAATAAATTATTTTTTAGCGCCCTCATTTTTTCACCTACTTAAAAACCACTATAACTTCAAATTAAATTAATTATTGTGAGCTATATTAGCGGAGTTTAAACATTCATTCTAAACGAGACTTTTCCTATAACCCGCAAGAGTTAACTTGAGACTGAGCGCAGTAGGTAGTAAACAACGACGCTCATGGCTGAGGTTAACTCTTACGGGCTACACCTGCCAATAAGAATGATTATTGAAAAGCAACTTTATACTATTCAGACAGAGTATCTTTTGTTCAAAATAAAACAAACATAATCGATTCTAAATTCCCACTTTGGGAAAGGCTGCTCTAAGCTATAGTCAGTCCACTCTAAATGACGACGATGGCCCATCGAAGACGAGGCATAATGGCTCTAAAATAAAAGAATTCATGGACTGAAGACTTGGTATAAACCGTAGAGGCCGCTCTACAGTGTATACATTTAAAAATAAAAACTCATCAAAACTTGGCTGGTTGGTATGGTTCCAAATCCTTGCCGTTTCCTCTACGGAGAGAATGAAAAAAAAAACAACAGCTGCGAATCGTGCTGTCAGTTGTCACGTGGTTGTCACCAAGTTGTCATGTTGACGTTTTCCGTAGAATTCATGTTACGAAACTTGTGGAATTTAGACAAATCTCCCTGCAGTTTTCCAGTTTCCCCAAGCAGCGACGACTGCCGGTGGCTACGAGGCCCTGCATAAAATGGCAAAAATGTATCGCCATTATCACCAAAGACATTTTAAATAAGCAAGTAAGTTAATTCGTTTGAGTTCGCGATTGTTTGTTTTTTTTTTCGTTGTTTTCAGCAGTAACACTTCAATATTACGATGGAAGAATAATTTTGAAGTAAATGCTTACGGTGTTTACGTCACGGTTTCGCAAGTCCAAAGTTCCAAAATTACAAATACTGTTTCCCCTGTACTCCCCAAACTTGATTTCACCGATTTCATGACTGAAAAATGCCTGTATTTTTTGTAAAGTCGTGATAAATGTCTTTCAAATCGGTATTACATAAAAACCATGGCGATAACCAATGCCATTTGACTGTGGTTTATCATGCAAAAGTTTTAATTAACAATGTAATCAAGTGTATTTGAATCATTAATTTGTTGTTTTTGTTATTGTTTTGATTTTTGAGAGCCATTATTCCTTCCCCTTTGCTTTCAACTGATGTTCAGCTTTTAGGTTCCATTTGATCGGCAATTTCCTTCAAAAATTTAGGAAAGCACATTTTTTGTGGCCATATTTAGTATTTGAATTTCAATCTTTTTTAACTATCAATAAATGTTGTTCATGGAGTACATGCAAATACAAAATCTCCCTTAAGCATCACAATTTCTGCTAGCCATTGATTGACTTTCTTTAATTTTCCACGTTCATATCATCTCGTATTATCCCTTTCACTTTGCAACCCATCCACATAGATGTGGTTTTCACCCCTTGAGAGGAAATTTCTGGTCATTCAAGACTAGTAGAAGACGAATTACCAGACTGTAAAATATCCTTTTTCTTCACCACGTTTATAGGGAAATATAAAATGGATGTTTATGGATTGAATGGATTAAATGAATTAATACTGCCCTCCTCATCATAACTAACGTAATCAACATTTTTGGCGAAATTTAGTTATTGACATATCTGGGATCAGCAACATGAGATCTACAACCCCGTCTAATCGGATTATTTATATCTTATTTAGTTTCAGTTTTATTGATAAGCAAAATCAGCCTACTGACATTTTTTATTAGAAAATAAAAAACTTTTTGTGCCAATATCTCTGAAGTTACCAAAATTCAAATACTTTTATTACACGTTAGTTGTGACAAAGAGGGCAGTATACATATTTGCATCCCTCATGGAAGAATGCCAAAAGTGGAGTTATGTTAAAAACGTTTATTGCTCCATTAGATACAGAAAAATATAAGCCACATCCTCTCAAATTCTTGTAATTCTATCGACTAATATTGTAGATAGCATTACAAGAATTGGAGAGGATGTGGGTTATATTTTTCTGTATCTAATCGAGCAATAAACATTTTTGACGTAACTTTACTTATGCCACTCTTCCATGAGGGATGTAATCAGTACTTAAGAGTAATGAAAACAATATTGTGTCTTACCATTGACAAATAACTAAAAACACATTTGCTAAACATGATTGCATGTTTCTGATAAAACTGTGTCTCAGTCTACTTAATGTACTTAATTTGAAGTAGGCTCCTAACAAAAGCGGTTATAGCGGTGCTCTTTTATTACTTAACAATAGATTTTTACAATAGTTTGTGTGTGAAAGTGATTAACAGTAGTGTCGGTTTCAAAATCTCAGTATATACATAAGTAATGTATATAAGAGACTGGAAACCTAAATAATAATTTGTTATGTAAGTACAGTGAATTATCAATCCCATTGATATTTTTACTCTTGTACATAGTTCAGTGTTTTGAAGTGACTATGCATTACAGTGCAGACTTTTTAAACAAAACCATTTTTCACTGTCTACTAACTTAGTGTCAAACTGAAGTGTTCATTTCATAGCACCATGGACTTCATAGTGGGAGGCTTGGCTGGTGTAGGAGCAGGATTCTTTAGTAACCCCTTTGATGTGGTCAAGACTCGCATGCAACTACAGGGAGAACTACAAGCCAAAGGCCAGCATGCCGTACACTATAGAAACATACCCCATGCAATGTATACCATAATTAAACATGATGGTCTATCAGCATTGCAGAAGGGACTTGTCCCAGCATTGTGGTTCCAGTGGGTTGTAAATGGTGTTAGGTGAGTCTTGATTTTTCGTTTTTAATTGAGATTAGTGTGTGAGTGGTGACTAGTTAACAAAGCGTATTGGGCTTATATTACAACAGCAGACTGGAAGCATGTTTACAAGTTTAGTAGACTGACTTAGTGAAAAAAATAAGTTTCTGCACTAAACAATACCAGAAGTATCCATTAATGTAAGGGAAAAACCATGGTTTTTCAGGAGAGCCAAAAAACTATTTTATTTTTTTAAATCTCTATAAAATCGTCTATAACTTTTTACTGTCTGTTCCAATTTTAATTAGAGTTTCTTAGAATTTCCCCTTCTTTCGTGCTATAAACGAAAGATTTAAGAATGCCCAGTGGTTTAAAACATGGCATGTCCCTTACATTAAAAAAGGTGTTTAGTTGTGCCTTACATTACTAATATTTTATGTGTAAACCGTCGAGCATAGTGTAAGCAGTAAGAGAAATAGAAAATTATACGTAATTCTATCGTAAAGGATCCTTTACAATAGAATTACGTATAATTTTCACGTAAAATATTAGTAACGTAAGACACAACTAAACATCCTTTTTAATGTTTTTTAATGTAAGGGACATGCTATATTTTAAACCATTGGGCATTCATAAATTTTAATAATACCAATCGATAGAGCGGGAACTTCCGTATCCAATGATATATGCAACTTATTTACGACAAAATGTCCCTTACGTTAATTGATACTTCTGCCCCCCTAGCATGGCTACGCATGATAGTCGAGTCGCGCGCGATAAAATTGAAATAAGCGCGCGCTTATTTCAATTTTATCGCGCGCGCCGCGACTATCATGCGTAGCATGCTATAGGGTCTGGTATCGTAAAGCCGGGCTTGCACTATACAAGTACGCTTGACCTGAGTACACTCGGATAGTCATTCGGACGCTACTCGTAACGTGTAAACATGTGATCCGAGCGCTCTCGAACGTCGCGGCGTCGGCACCAATCAACACGTTACGAGTGGCGTCTATATAGTCAACCAAATGGACTAGATCCGAGCGTACACGTAGAGTGGAAACCCAGCTTAACCTGTCGCAACGTCTTTCCCTTTCTCGCAATCAACTACACATACAACATGTCGTCTAGTAAGAATTTTGCTTGTAACCATCTTAGATAGCGCGTGTGTGCATTACTATGTACCCGTAAATACAAAGGCCCAGTAGCGATAGCTTAAATCCGTTAAATGAAATTTAGCCACTATTTAAAGACCGATAAAGTTACTTTTCGCTCTAAAAAATTGTTTGTGGCCTACTAACAATTTTCACAAAATAATTGCAGTTTGTTTAACAAAGAGGTGCACTTCCATTGATATGCAATTTTAGCGTTCTTTGTTAATTCGTCGAAGCACAATTTAATATTTGAGTTTTTCCTTGACAATTAGTCCGTTTGCAGCTTCTGTACTTAAACATAATAAATAATATTTTAAAATCTATTTCTGTTCTTCCACCTTTTTCATTTCAGACTAGGTATATACCAACAAGCTGATAATTACGGTCTACTACGAGATAAAAATGGACATACCCAGTTTTCTAACAGCTTATTTTTTGGGGCGTTCGCCGGAGCGGTGGGAGCCCTATTCGGTAGTCCTCTACAACTCATAAAGACGCAATTGATGTCCTACTCTAATGAAAAAATAGCTGTAGGCACGCAGCATAAGCACAAAGGCCTTAGGTACGCTGCGACAAAGATATATCGGAAAAATGGATTGCCTGGTTTGTGGCGAGGTGCACACGGGATGATGATCAGAAACTCAATTGGGTCCGCCTCGCAAATTGCCGCCTTTGCTATGTAAGTAAACACAAAATAATAAAATAAATAAATAGAACTTTATTGTTAGGGTTATTTGCAAAATAGTAACAACCTCTCAGGACTACATTACCAAGGCTGCTAACAGATTGACTGCATGTTTGCAAACCGTGCCATACGCTATGCCAACTAAGTCACGGAACGAACCAACGGACCTCACGAATTTTCAATTTATGACGAATATTTTTATAGACAACAAAACAAAAGTACCAGTGTCGTTATCGTATGATAGTAAAAAATCCATAAATTGGCGTAAAAGAAAAATCAATTCTTGAAATTCAAATTCAAATTGTTTATTTCAGACCATGTCCATAGATGTTAGTTACAAATATACTTATATCCTATGTTAGTAATGAAAATTATTATAACACCAAATTATTATAATCCACGAAAATCAATGAAATAAATTGAATCAAATTATCAATCACATCAAACTATAAATTAAATTTAATTGAAACATTTACATTGTATTATAAATCGGGCCTCTTGGACCCACACGAACTTGATTTCAGTGCTTCCACGTGTCGCAAGCAGGGTACTCCCAAATCAACCGTACGAGGCTGTTAGAACTGTCACGCGACGCATCAGAGACGCAGTTATCTTTGCGTTTTATCGTACTAAAGCTGTCAATATGCGCCTCCGCGAACATATCTGATGCGCTAAAAAAGCGTGGCAGTCCCAACAACATCCTAAATCCATTATTATATTGAACACACAGAGCATAAACCGCCTTTTTAGGGTAGCATGTTCACAGACTGCACGTGTAAAAGGTCTGACAAAACGCTTTGAAAAGGATAGCTTTAATATCCCCATCACAGCGCGCCAACCTGCGGGACATCATATTATAACTTACGGCCAATGCCCTGCGCTCTCTCTCTATATCCACATCATCACAGAGGTTCTGAGTGACCCAGTGACCAAGTGAGAGAAGCTTCACCTCGTTGCACAGTTGGGATTGAAATAAGGGCTTTGTTACCAGGCTTAAATACTAACAACCCACTTTTATTAGTATTGTACCTTAAGCCATGTGTCACCGCGTAATCCTCACACATGTTTAACAGCCTAACGAGCGCACTGATTGAAGGGCACAGCAGCACCATATCATCCGCGTAACTTATATTGTTTACTTTTGAATTGATTAAATGTTCGACGTCCGCTGACGCCTTTTTATAATTTTACAAATAAAATCAGAATGGGAGAAGAAAATAAACTTATTATTACCATCATCATCGTCAACCCATTAAACGCGTAAGGAAAGGGTTTAGGAATTGGAATTACTGTTTTCCAACTACATGTGCCAACTTTTATTCAAATCGGTTAACAGAAAGTGGAAGTAATTCGATAAACCGGAACCATTTTGAATGGGACCACTTCTTAGGTACCCCATTTTTATTATACCAAGTGACGGGACGAATAACTCACGCGTCTGGTAGTACAGCGACACACCTATTATCCATAACAGCTGCAGTGCCACTCAGAGCTTAAAATCGCAAGGATCTGAGGGGCACTGGCGCTGCGCCCTAAGATATAAGTTAACAAGTCCCGTGTGCCCGTGTGTGTCACGTGTGCAATTTCACCAGCACCCTTACCCCTCCAAACTGAAACGCAATAACGTATACTTTACTGCTTCACGGCAAAAATAGATAAGGCGGCAGCACTTCCCTGGACGAACTCTTTCACAAGAAGGTCTACTGCTACTAAAAATCGCTTAAAGGTAGTAAATAAGGCAAACATTGAACAAAGTTCATGATATCTTTCCAGGTGTAAAGAATGGATAGAGGCAAACCAACTATTCCAACAGTCGAAATACATGTCGTCGTTTGTGGCCAGCAATATCGGGGCCATAATCAAGACAGTGGCTCTCACGCCTATGGATGTTATCATGACGCGGCTATATAATCAAGGTAAGATAATGGATGGTGGTGGAGAAATTCATAAAAAAAATTAGTAACCTGTTAGTTTTAATAACAAAATAAATAGAAGCAGTTCTATACTGGCCACCTACAGAATGTCCATGAAGTCGAAACCAAATAAAAAAAAACGTTCTCTTTTCAAAACCTTGAAATGTACACATTATTTGGGTGTTACAGATTTTGTATGGGAAGAACGATGGTTTTCTCTAGGATTGAAGAAAACGGAAAAAACATTTTTTTTTAATGAGAAATGTCTTACTGCGCGTATTTCAAAACTGACTATCAAATTCTACATGCGAGACATAAATGGATTGATGTTGAATAAAATGTATTGCTTGAACGTTATTATTGTCTAGCTCAACAACAATTCTCTACTACAATTGAATTTTACCTTAACTGCCTAGATAATAGAAGTTAATATTCAGTAATGGTAACATTTTATATACTTATGAATTACGTAATGTTTTTCTCGATAACATGTACTTACATATCGGTATCAAAACATCGTTAACTCAATACAAAGCTAATAGTACATTGTGTAGTAAGAACGATAAATAAGAAATCAGGAACGAGGGTCTGTCATAATATAACTTTTTGCCATCCGCGATATATACAATGTTTTTCGTCCATTTGCGTGGAAATAAATACATCGTTTATTTCTTGTATGATTTTTTTTTTCTTCTTTCCATAAAGGAAAAGGCAAAGGTTTTACACCATACAGCCAAGTCTTGGTACATTATTTTTGAGCCATGTCTTCGTTTAATTGTTTCTGTAAATATGGCCGCCACAAAGAGGATAGTCAATTTGAGGCGGCGTGTTTGGATTGACTCGGGATTACTTAGAACGGGCCGATACGGGTATTTTAGTTCAAGATAATTTCGCGTTTTAATCTTCGATTAAGGCACAATAGCTTTTCCTTGTATGAATAAATATGGTTCACAACACAACAATTAAGAATACAAAGAACGAACGCGCAGAAAAAACACTCAGAAAAAATTCCTTCGATCCGGTCGAAGGAATTTTTTCTGAGTGTTCGATCTTTGTATTAATAATTATAACAAACTAGTGGAGTAATTTCACAAAAAATAATTGAATATCAATTCAATAAAAATTTATATAATTACAACAATTAAGAATTTTGCAAATGGCGGATATTTTTTTTTATCAACAGATGGCCAGCTAAAAACGAAGACGCATACAGCCATGATGGACAGTAAAAAAAATTGTGCTAAATGCTTATATTTAAAAATATTTAAAAGGAAAATAATTAAAATTAAATAAAATGATATCTTAATAATACGTATTTAAGCAGTATGTGGCTGAATTGTAATTAAATTTCTGTTTAGATAACATTTAAAACAAATGTTTTAATTTTGAACTCAAGTAACCTCCTTGCTTGAATTTGTACCTGCCCTATTTAAGGAAATATGTCAAGCTACAAATTTAAAAAAACTCCATGAGACCATGGCTGTATTAGGAAGAAAAAAGGCCCTAGCGTTTTATTTGGGGCATTAAAGTCAAGTTAGCCACCATGAAATCGTACTATTTACGAGCCAGTATAATGAAAAACCAATTAATCACAATGAAGAGTTTAGTATCTAATGTTAGTATTTAAACTTAGCGTGTTATTGGATTCAACAGTTTGTCAATAATAATATAATATTTTATTGAATCTAAATAGCGTATTTTTTTTTTTCAAACAAACCAACGTTTCGGACACTTTACAGGTTTGTTTGAAAAAACAAATATACACGATTTAGATCCGAAACAATAATATCATTTCCTGTGTGTAACAATCGCGAAAATTTAAGAACTTATTAGTAGATAAATTTTCCTATAATGCATACCTAATGTAAAGGCATACACATTATACAGTGTGTTAATTTGCATTCTCGCCTTACTTGAGAAACGAATAATAGAAATAATGCTAAATCATCTAAAAAATTTAAAAAAATATTCTGTTCAATATAGGGTAATTGTATTTAGTAAAGTTTATAAAATTGTCCCCAAGTGTATTCACCGCGGAGGCCAGTGACCCCGCCATTCGCTTCACCGAGAGATACGTAATCTTTCTCGATTGCTTATTTACCTATTTTTTAAATTATGTTTATGTTATACTATTGTTTTAATTTACTAATTATTTACATTAGTTAGGAAAGTTGACTTAAAAAAGATTTTTTGTAACTGAGATTTGGTACTTACCAGCTTTAGGTTACATGAAAGTATTTCTAGAAGTACCTAGCTCCACAGCTGGTGGCTGTCTCCGTACCGGAGCCAGCCACGGATATGCAGATTTTCGTTTCAACTTAGCACATTCTTCACAATAGAAAAAGCAGAAAGAAACCAGAAACGATTTTTGCGCGTAATTCTTCGACACTCGTAATCTGCGTAAACCAAACGTTTCACATCATACCATAAGAACGCACTTGATGGTAATGCAGGGTCTAGTGAACCTGGTAGCGGTTTTTTTTTGCACTGACTCTTGTTTACATACCAAACCATGTGGCGTTTTGTGAGAAACTAGAACGTATGCGCGATGTCAGCGGAAAGTAGATGCAATACGCAAGGTCGGCTGATGATCTACCAATCACGCGCTCGATACAATACTCCCCCCGTCCCTACCCGTACCCTTCCACCAAATAGATCTAAAATGCGTATTTTCTGCGCATAGGTCATTGTTCAAATGGTTGCCGGTACCTGTGCCCCGTGTAGTGCAAGTCAATGAATGACCTTTGGATCAAGTATGGTTATCGCATAAAAAATAAGAATTTACGAATTTTTTTTTCGATTTATTTTCTTTAGTGATTTGGGTTCAGTTTCGGATATAGAATGACCTCTGTAAATATGGCGAGAATGCAAATCAACACATTGTATATCGTTTTCAATAAATTTATTAAATAATTTTGTTTCTAAATTTATATTGAATTGATATTACACTAGTTATAATTATTAATACAAAGATCGAACAAGTAGAAAAATCGTCGATCCGGCCGGATTCCAACAGACGTCTTCTAGCAAACCGTGCCAGAAGCTATGCCAACTAAGCCACGGAACGAACCAGCGGACTTTACGAATTTTTCTATGTGCTTGTTGTTGGTTTTTTTGTTTTTGGTTTCTCAACGACTTTTTAGCCGTACCGCCATCTATGAAGTTTAAAAGAAACATATTTCTTCCAGCCGTGGACGCGGAGGGGCGAGGCCTGCTTTACTCAGGCATAGTAGACTGTGCACGTAAAATCACTAAAACAGAAGGACTGGTGGCGCTCTACAAGGGCATAGGCCCTTCTTACTTTCGCCAGGCGCCACACTCGGTGCTTCTACTTGTGTTCTGGGACATGCTCAAAGATGTACAAAAACATTTTGAAACAAAGTGACGAATACAATCGTTAGTACAGTGAGTACAGCAGTAAAATGTATGTTTATTTTCTTCAGAAAATAGCCTTAGAGGAAAAATCTAAAAAAACTTATAGACATATGTGAATGTACGTCACTGTACCCATCTTAGTACAACATACAAATTTATAATGGCGAGCGAGAAAGTGATTATTGGTGCCCTCTGACGTCGTAATTTATATTTTATTGTATTAGATATTGTTGTCACCCTGTAAGTGTATTACGAGCTACACACACTGAGCGCGGCACAATACTTAGACAGCAATGCCAACTAGAAGCGGTTCATACAGTACGACGCTTGGTGTGTTAGCTAGTTACCCTTAAAGTAAAAATCAGTCTATACCGTAATAATAATAGCGACCACGTATAATATTTTAAAAAAAATGTTACTTCTTTGCGAAATTGGTATAGCAAAATCATCAAATATAGGATAGTCGTATTTGACTATTGACACTAAACTCATTGTGACACTGATATGTGACATCTAATTAATCAATAGTAATGAAAAAAAGTATTGATCTGATATACAGGTGGCGCCATCCATACTTTGCCACGAGATTTACTGACTTATTGCATGTTTCATATTGATACTGAGCCAAATACTAGAATATTAATACTGCTTTAATGGTATAATGATTTATTTGTAAGTGTGATTAAAGAGTCGGGGCAAATTATATATGAAATATTCCTACTAATCGATATTCATAGAGGACACTTTTATCTCTATTTTTAATTCAATATTATCTAAAAATAGAGAAAGTGTCCTCCGTGAAAAATCTTGGGACATTCGATTTTTAAATTACTTTATTTTATATAAACGCTCTATTCCTGTCCCGACGTTCTGCAAACGTCAAAGCTAAACAAGGCGTATAGTTTAGAAACACATACAAAAGCAACCTCTTAGGGTTTCTAAAGCTGCTTTTGGTGCTGATATCCAATAAAGTATTCACATTTAAATATATTTTCAAGTATATGATGCCCTATGACCGGGTTTGCCCCGTTTTCTTTGTTTTAGAATAATTGATAAACAAGTGCATTAAGGTGCTTTACCACTGGCGAGGCGATATGGGGATGGAAATTTGTAAGAAATTTGCAAAATTTAAATTCTCTCCTAGCGCGTCTTCGGTGGAGAAGGTCTGGATTGACGACGATGTGCGAAGCGAGAATTGAAATATTTGTTAATGCAATATTGAATCATATTGCTGTCTTCATAGAATATTTATTAACCCTGCAACGGAAACACGATTTCTCGCGCGATCTTGTTATTTATATCAATAAATAGGTCGGCTATCAATGTCAATCGCTACATTGTGAGGTAAGTACGATTTAAAATAAAAAAAAAGATGGCTTCATCTGATTCTTCTTCCGTTAAAATATTAAATAATCCGCGAGTTTGTTGCTAGACGAACTGACCAGCACTGAATCTTCACTATCCACAATTACAGCAAGAGCTCGCCAGAGCTCGCAGCGGCTATTAATATCATTCGCGAGCTCACGATAGCTATTAATGACAATTTTTGTTCGAAATGGGCCGGCGAGATTTCAATACTCGTCTCACCTCGCCCGGTGGAAAAGCACCCTTAGAACCAAAGATGATGTCCTGATAAATATTTTTAAGTAGGTAAAATTTAGAATTGCGCATAGTGTGACAAAAGATACGGCAAAATTATATTTTGTCTCGGCCTTAAATGAATGTATTCAGACTTTACAAAACCAACCGACCGTATCTAGGGGTCTACTTCCGTTCGCCGGCGGAAAAAAATACTGTGAAATTAGTAGAGATGAAACGGATATCCGGTAAATATTCGGTATCCGGCCTATTTTCACTATCCGGGCGGATACCGGATAATAGAACAAAATTCGGCCGGATACCGAATGATTAAAACAGAAAAAATCATAATCAGTAGGTATGTGAAATAAATTGATTTATTGATAATTTACAGATGATAGTAATAGGGATAAACATCAACTACAAGATCGTTGACAATTTGTTTGTTACTTGTAAAAGAACTATGAAGTTAGATAACGTTATCTGTAAATTTAATACTATTCCAATAAAGGCAAATTATGATAATTATGAAGACCAATTTTTGTGCATTAAGTGGTAAAAGTTGGTTCTATTTATTTTCATAAACGAGACCAGCTTCAAAGGACAGTTTTTCACTACAAACTCTTGCAAACTTTGTTAGTGCTACTTGTTATTGCCAGATGACCAAATAAAAGGATCGCGAGCACGATCGATTTGAATTGTCTTCAAATACAATGTGTACCTACAATAATAAAACTTGTAACTAGATAACTATATATTTTTTTGCAAATCTGGTATCAAGGCTTAGTTTAAGAATTAGTTAGAACACAAACAAATTTAATAAAATCAAATTGAAACAAAATAATAATGGGTGTATCAAGTTATAGCGATATACGCGTACTTATAACAACTAGAAATATTAATATAGCCAAAGAATGATGTAATTGCGTTTTTTTCCTTCTCCACAGCGAAAAATTTGCATTCGACACAACAAACAAACAGCAATGATATTAAAATATTGCCAAATTAACGTTTTTCTTTTCACTGTTAACATTTTTCTCTTGTGTATTTGTTCGTAATATCGAATAAATTAATCGTTTTTATAAAAACCAAGTGACCAAAACAAATCAAATCGTCAATGTGAAAGCGCAATCATTCACTCATCAATCACTTACGGCGAAGAGCGCTGTAAACCGACAGTGGGTCAGATATCCGGCGGCCGGATATCCGGCCTAGGTGTCCGTCGGATATCCGGTATGACTATCCGTTTCATCTGTACAAATTAGTAACACTCGACCAAAGTGAAAGCTTCATACTTTACATTGTCTTTTGGTCGAGTATTACTTATTTGACAGCGTGTGTTTCGGACGGAGAACTGTAGTAGGCTCCCTAAACACAGTTTATACCAGTGAATTAGACAAAACTACCACGAATATTAAAAAAACAGTATTATATGTAACTAAATACCTTGATAGCATTTCGAATCTGTATTATTTATCTCAAACTTGAGATTAGGCCAATGATCTTTTTTAGTCATTGTCGTTAACTAATTAGTTACTATTTTTATTGTTAATACTTTGATAAGTAGTTTTTATAATCATTACTAAATATGACATTGAGTCTCCAGTTAATTTATAAAAATTGCCAAAATAATTTTAATTTAGTGTAACTCCCTTCTTACTTATAGGAAATGAAAATAGTTATTCCGAATTTAAATCGCGTATGGTCACGGTTGACCATGGGTCTTGTAAAGGGCCCGAAACATTGGTTTGTTTGAAATAACAAATATACGCCATTTAAATCCGGAAAAATAGTTTCATTTCCTGTGTGTAACAATCGCGAATACCTAAGATCCCTTCTTACTTTTTCAAAAAGTACAATAAGCAATTATTTTCGAATAATGACAATAAGTGTTTAATGGAATACTAGTATAAATTACAATACGTTTCTTTGTACACGAATGGCGTAAGTTACAACTTTAACGTGAAAAAATATTTACACACTTTTTCATACTTAGTTCTCATAACTATAGAACAATAACGAAAATAATATAATTAACGCAGTCGTGTAAAATGAAATTGTACAGTGCCTCTTAACAATACGTAAATAAGTAGTGCAAACCTCAATTTAAAAGTTTGTAAATATACATACCGCAAGGTTTTTTCAGTTAGAGATGATACAGTAACACTTATTGTAGAACACTGTCTATTTAAGTAGAAAAATTGTGAAATAGGCAAAGTGTTAGAGCGCCTTTAAATTAGACGCTTTTAGAAGCGCTCAGTAATTTTTAATTCACTTATTGTGTCTGCATAACTTTTTTGTAAATAAAAAATAAAAACCGACCTCAAGTTTCTGGCATGACATACATCTATTTGCGAAATTTTATTGAAATCGGTTACCGGAAAGCGCGCGAATTCGGATTCATCCCCTAGTTTGCCACCCTTAGAGGTCGAATATTTTCTTCAAATTTAAAAGGGATCGATACTGAGGTACCGTTTTTCCAACAAAAAAAGAATCATCAAAAATCTGTTCACAAATAAAACTCTAATAAAATCGGATCACAAATGCAGTAATGGCGTAACAGTCACAAAAAAATACAGTCGAATTGAGAACCTCCTTTTTTGAAGTCGGTTAATAAGTGGCGCTTGTCACGACAATGGCGCTACGACTGCACTTCTCAACATTGTATGAACACGACTGCCGTTCTACAGTGGCGCCATTGTAGGGCTTCTACAAGAGCGTCAAATTTGAAAGCACCCTTATGATGCATTAAAAAGTGTGAGTATTCGATTGTATAAATCCTTGAATAAGAATATTTTTTTAACAAATATAGAAGATTTCGTTATATGACAATATAATTTTGTAAAAAAATGTACAGCATTGACAGCATACTTTATTTTGAAGTCTGTCAACATTTTCGATTAATTTGCCAGTAGCTCCTCTACCAAAAAAACTTTGCAGCATGATGACTAACACTTGCGATGACAAATGATGAAATAATTGTAACATTTGTATTCTGTTTTCTGAGATTATGTATAACTTTAATATATATAATATTTGTTATTTAATATTGTTATAATTTTTATTTTGCTTCGTACTTAGTACAAATAAAAGGTTAGTTTAAAATTATTGGTTTTTTTTATTTAACACTTCCTTACCAAATTCGTTATTTGCCCATAGTCCTACTATGTACTTCTACTAGTAGTACCAAAGGTAATCTTTTACACCCGTGGTTCTACTGGTAGAACCACGGGCAAGTAGCGTTGCCCGTAGTCCTACTGGGAGTGATAAGAGCATTTATATCCAGAGCTTGAAAATACCCATGCATTAATCTAGAGCTCAGGATAAATCGTTTTCGGTTCAGGCAGCTCGTTTATGGAACAACCTGCCGGAAGCGTTAAGGCGTGCCCAATCGCTTGACAAAAAGGAATTGGTAAATAAACATTATTTATCACTTAGTAATTTCAATTTAGTAGTTATAGGAGATATATATGTGTATATATAATATGTATCACAAGAATATTCTATATGTTGTATGTGGATATAGTTATTTATATATTTAGTATGTAGCAATGTGTATGTATATATGTTATAATAATAGGGGTTAAAGTATGAAATTGCCGATTTGTACTGAAAATCTAAATTGTTTATTTTTAAAATTTTTAACAAATTTATTTAATCAAAATAGTTGCCATTATTATCT